TTTTTCAGATTTTAACTTGCTTTTAATTTAAAAAGTTTAAACAAATTGTTTAGTGTAAATGGTTATGTTTCTTGTCTTTTCTCAAAGAGATCACAATTAAAATCCCGTCACTTATGTATTTTTCCTGTAAATAAGCAAATAATAAATGACTGTGAAGACGAATCTACCCTTCCTACTTTTGCTATGGATGCAAGAATTTTGTAACGCGGAAGCACTTTTTCCATTTCACTATTATATTAGGTGTAGCGAAAGTAACCTGGGTGGTTGAGCATTTAGTGGGTCGGACACTATTTGAGTCTGTTTAAATTAGTTGTGCCTTTATCATCCGTGTTGGGCAAAACAACAAAACTCAATCTTTCCATATTTAGCCCTCTAAAAATTGCTCTGGCATAACAATAAAGGTAGAGGAGGTTAGCTGGTTGTTGAGTCTGATGGAAAGTTTGGAGAGACGGCGATGGTCGAGCTTTTAGTGGGTCGGGCTCTATTTGGGCCCGTTCACATTAGTAGTGTCTTTTCCATTCGCGCTTGGAAAACCAACATCACTCAACCTTTTCATATTTATGCCTCTCTTAAAGACACATGTGTCCCATATTTATTCAAAAGTTATGTGTTTAAAATTATTGTTACTTTATGGTAGTTATAACAATTAAGTCTATGTTAAGAATTCTGCATCGCTTCTACACATTCAAGAGTGCAATTCGATATGCAATATTTAAATCAATGACATTTCGGTTGCTAACCGTGGTGGACAAGTCCTATGATTTTTCAGATTTAAGCTTCCTATATGTTTTTAATTGAAAAATATCACACAAATTGGTTTATTGTAACTGGTTATGTTTCTTATCTTTGTTCGAAGAGACCACGGTACAAATCTTATTATTGATGTATTATTTTTGTAAATAATAATGATAAATGACTGTGAAGACGAATTTACCCTTCCTACTTTCACTCTGGATACAGGGAATTTAAAATGGAGCTTCAAGTTTTCTCATTTGGTTTTAAACTATTCTATAGACAGATTGTTTCTGGACTTGGACTCAACTAGTGATACAAAATGGGCTTAAAGCCCCATGGGACAAAGACCTTGTCTTACTCTTTAAAGAAACCCACGACCAATTAAGGACAATAAACCTAATACACTACTTCAAGTTCAAAACGCTACTGTATTACTAACTTATTCTAGCACTTAACTTTCAGCTTACAACGATCAAACCTTCCTCCTGCTTCCTGTTCTTCGACACACTCAAGAACTGAGAGTTATTCAATTCACAAACTAGCAACAATGAAAACCAGAAATTGAACAGGCACACCAGGATTTTTCGTGGTTTTCAGTGAAGGGATGAATTGAAATCCCAACACCGACTAGTCCACGGTCGAAGACTCACGCTCTTGTGATCTTCGACGTACTTCTAAAGATATGGAATTTCAGTACATACAGTAGAGTATTCAGAACCGCAACTCAATTGGCTCCCCGCACAATTGAAACTCACTCGAACTTTACCCTCCTATCAACTACCCTGCTAACAGGAACCTGATAGCCCACTATCGATTTAGAAACACCCATGTTTCTAACCAACTCTTTTCACTTGAGAAATCTCTTACAAGCGTTGTTGAAGAGTTTGATGATGCGGAAATACGAAATGAACATAGAACACAAGATTTTACGTGGTATCCTCGATCGATTGATTGATCGAGACTAATCCACGGTGAGCTCGGAAGAGCTCACAACTGACGTTTTATTGAACGACTACATTGTGACGGCTTGCTTACGACAATCTCCATAGTTAAGCTTATATAGACGTAGAGTTAAAACCCTAATGACACCAAGTTTCCTTCTTTGACAAGGACAAGGAAACAAGGGACTTGGAGGACAAGGAATTAATTATTTTTGACTAAATAATTAATATCCTTAACCGCTGTTGTATTTCTATTTCTCTCCCAAAAAGGTTACCACTCTTAATGTTGTTGTACCCCTTTTATACCAAGTCCATCATCTTCAGTCTTCAAGAATTGTGTCGTTGCTTGATTGACTCTTGTGGAGTGGAAATTGATTCACTTTCCTTCTTGGTTAGGTAGCCGTTGGAGATAGATTGCCAGGGCCTCCACCTTCCTTTTCTTGGAGCAATTCTGGTCGGTGCCTAGCTGTACAAACTTGGTCAGTTGCAATGATCGTGCACTTCGTATTATTCCCAACACTACTTGCACCAACAAGTGGCAGTTTTAGAAACAAGGGTTAGGAAAAATAAAGTAGAAGATATATTGAAGGATTGCTTTGTGGGATGGGAGAAGGAACTAAACTATGTTGGCTCCGATTTGGGGCGTATCTGGCTCTTTTGGAAATCATATATTACATTGCGGGTTTTAAAGCTGGGGAAGAACTTTACTCATGCTATGGTTGTTTGTTCGGATCGTATTCCTGTATTCTTAACTACTGTGTATGGCTCTAATGAGGAGACTGATAGGAGGAACACTAATGTGGAGATCAGTAGATATACAGAGAAGCACAACTGCACAAGCCATGTCCACTAGTTTCGGTTATACTCAATAGTTTAAAAGAGAAAGTTTTATTAATTAACATTATATATATTATATAACTATTGTTGTATTTTACATAAATCATTGTAAAACATTAATAAAATTTATTTTATATACTTTTAAGCTTACTTATCTAGTTGTATCTATAAATTATTATGTGAGAATTAAATTTTTTTAATTATTTCTTCCTAACTAATATATTTTGTATTGATAATTTTTATTTATTTTATGTATTTTATTAAAATCGACATAACCAATACAAACACTAATTATACTACGATCGTACTATTCCATTTGCAAAACCAACACACAGGGGCGGACCCAGGAGGGGGGCACCCTTAAAATTTGGAAAAGCGATTAACCAACCTTAGGTGGTAATTTACGTATGGACAAAAAAATTATAATTAATAGTTCGGGACACCATGAAATTTGAAAAAACGATTATCCTACTCTCGTTTGTAGTTTGCCTATGAGAATATAAGTGGTAGTTTGGAAAATTCAACCCGGGACACTACTATTATTAATAAATATAATTTCCATTAGGCTACAATTTTTTTTTTTGTTATTCTATTCTAAACACTTTGTAATAGCAAAATCATATTCTCTATCTTTAATTATTTTCAAAACCTAACAATTAATCTAATTACAAACTACTCTTAATTTGTATTGATTTTATGGTTGTAGGACAAGTGCTGAAAAGTGTCTTTTCAGTTTTGAGTTACTTCAAGAACAAATTTAGAGGTCGAATATGCGTTAGTTCGTAAATGAGCAGTGTAGACACCAAGTGTATTTGACAATTTTTTTCAGAATATGAAAATAAATCATAGAATTTCTGGATCCGCCACCGCCAACACGCTAGGTAGAAAAGCTGTTTGACAACTTAGCAGTCCACTCCATAGTTGTAACTCGTAAGAATTGCTAAACTTAATCTTCTTTCTCCTCCCTTTTGGAGGAGGAAAGGGAAATGGATCAGGTGAGTAACTTTATGGTGAGTAACTATGAGTAACTCGCCCACATCAGCATGACATCAGCATCCTCTCTCTCCTGGAAAGCCTTTAATTTTCCCCTCCTTAATCTTTGACGGACGATTTCTCATTCGTTTTAAGTCGAAATTTAATTTTTTTTGCACAGTTAGATCAGATTAATTGTGCTCTTCAAAATGATATCCACTTTGATATATTTTTCGAACAAAAAAAAATTGAGCCATTTTTTACCAGTCTATACCATATGGTATTGACTGGTATTGAAATAAGAGCATACCTATGGTTTGAAAAGCGTACCATGGTGGTATGAACAAACCAAGACTGTAGGATGATTGAATACATGATAGTAGAAGTATATTAATTGTCATTTACGACTTTTAACATTGTATACCATAAAATACCACCCCGTACCAGGGTGGTATTGTATGGTATTTGGTGGTATTTTTTGGTCTTGTAATTTGTTCACCCAGAAATTTGTAGATCCAATAGATCATGATGAACTCGTCCCTGCTGTGCAAACGTTTTCAAAAACGAATGAAAAACGAAGAAGATACCATATGGTATGCAGTTGGTACCGAGAGGCCAAAATTTTTTTCCCTCAAAAAATATTGAAAATTGATCTCATTTTGTAGAGCACGATGAACTCGTTCCATCTGTGCAAAAAAAATTAAAATCCGAGTTAAAACGAAAAAGATATGAATCAATTAAGAAAGCTAGTGAAAATAAAAATGGTCTTTAATTCTCCATCCTTAGATCTGGATTTTCTAAATGAAGGGTCCAGATTTGGTTATTGATGAGTGCATAACCCATGGTTATGCACCCTATCTTGAGCCCGAGGAAAGGGCCAATGGAAGGTCACTAGCCAACGTTCTTTCCCACTTTTCAAGGTTGGCGCACGAATTCATATGCCTATTGTTAACGGTTTCATTTGTCGGACAGATTCTTAACAGCTCTACTTCTATATCAACATGGGTCTCCAATTTGGCACTCTGATCGACATATGTATCCTTTTTTTCTTTTTGTTTCCTTTTACCCTTGAAATTGAAAGGCTAGTTTTTACAAGCGGAGAGGAAAAAATAAAAATAAAAAGAAGAGAAAAGTGGTGGGCCAGAGAATGTGGTCGCTTTTCGTTGCGGACTTGGTGGTGGTGGGAAGAAAGATGAGTAACGGAAAATGCCAGCCAGCGTGGTCCAGCTACGGAGGCCCACGTTCCGAAGCAAAGAGCGTCAATGGGAAAACGGGGAAGCTCTCAATCCAGCTCATTCTTTTCCCCATCCCCGCAATCAACGGCCATGGAATGGTGATTGGGTCCACGTGTAGCGCCAGATGCGCGCCTCTCGTTTGACAGCAATATATACATAAATGCATTGGCCCTGACCACCCTTGAATAACTTCATAAGCAAGCTGCTGCTCCTCCTCCTCTCCCATTCTTCTTTCCCCACCTTAACCGAATTGACGCGAGAGAAAGAGAGAGAGAGAGAGATGGGAGGATTCGAGAAGCAGGTGAAGGAGAGGGCCAAGGAGCTCCAGGTTTTGTTGAAGAAGGGAGTGAAGGTCGTGGGCGAGTCCTGCAAGAAAGGCTGGAGCAAAGTCAAGCACTTCAAACGCTAGCTAGCCAATAGCTTAGCTTAGCGCTCTCTCTCTGGTTTTCTGGATTCTTGTATTTTGCTTTGTCTGTCCAGATTGAATTCTGCTTCCATCTAGTTTTGTTTGCCCCGATTTTTGTTTTCTAATTTTCGTACACAAGGGATTGGTTTTGGCCGCCGCCGGCTGCCGGCAGCGGGTGTTCTGTTTTTGGTATGTGATATATTAATTGATTGGGTTCTCTGTTGGGCTTCTTCTCATCACTTAGCTGCTAATATGAAACAAAGTTCGACTGTTAATTTCAAACTAGCCCGGGCTAGGTAGCATACGCCACACAGCGGTCTGTCATATGCCTTCCTATCCCTGCTATAGAACGCTTTTTCTCAGTTCAATGAAGTTTCATGTATCGAATTGAGCAAGAGCGGTGCTTTAATTGGACGGCCAGATCGCTAATTGCACAGCCAGATCGCTAAACAGATGCGCCCAACGCAAGCAGTATTGAGTTGAAACTCACTACGGAGATGATGATGACTTCATGACACGAGTGTTGTTCCAATCCGCGAAACCTAATTACTAATTAAGGAGTGGAGATGGCCGTCTTCGACTCACAAAAACACTAATCAACTCCTTCACCACATGGTCGAGTGATGGAATGAGTGGGAAGCGTGCACATGAGAAAGCTTCCATGCTGAAGCCATCCCTTACAAGTTACAATTAGGGATGGCAATTTTGCCCATACCCATGGGTATTTTACTATCCAACCCAATTGGGTTGGGTATGAAATCCAAATATATGGATATGGGTAAAGTTTGATGGGTTTGTACCCATACCCATTTACTTTGGGTTGGATTTGTACCCATGCCCAAATACAAATTACAGTTTGGTACCTAAGCTTAATAGATATGCATATTTAGTACCTAAATTTAATTTTTTTTGCATATAAGTCCTCAAAATATCAATGGAAATTTACGTTTTGGTACCTAAATTTTTTGGTCTTACATTTTGGTACCTAAACTTTTCAAGTTTTACAAATAGGTCCAATTTTTGCATGTGTAGTTAAAACACACTCAAGTAAATGGATATCCATATCCAACCCATACCCATTTAGATAATATCCATATCTAACCCAAACCCATACACACATCACCCAAACCCTACCCATAATAAATGGGTCTACTTGGGTTTGGGCAAAATTACCCATGGGTGGGTAAATTGTCATCCCTAGTTACAATACAACTCCGCCATATTACACTTACACCCAAAAGATCCTAGGAGAAACTAAGGTGGTAGAGGTTTGTCCAGCTCAACTAAGATTTAAGTCAAAAGAATTTGATACAAATTTGTGGTTATGACTAATTCAAATAGAGAGAGGAGAAATAATGAGTTTTTTTTTTTTTTTTGGTTACAAAGATCTACGCAACACCGTGGAATTTATTAAAAGGATTGAGCGATTATGCGATATACTTGTGACGTCATGATATAACCAACAACTTAACTCCAAGTCGCACACATTGTAGAGATGTATACCAAAATGAAAAAACTAAAAAGTGATTTTTATTAACTTGGTTGTCAACAACACTAGTAGACTATCTATACACATGAGGAATCACCACTTGTCAATCAAAAGTCAAAAGGTTAAAGTAGTTTGTTTTACCATAAATGTTGTCGATGGGTATTTATACCGCAGACTTTGCCTGGATCATTAAATGTCAGACCAGTGAATGAGGTAAATCTCTTCACCGAAATTATATATTTTTCCCCGTCCGCTCGAAGGTGTCGGACGTCGACCGCTCGCCAGCGTTGGACGGTTATTACACATCCAACGCCGACGAGCAAACGACAAACATCTACGGGCAGACCCCGTTCGACCAGTGCAGGCGGACGGCGTCCCCAGTCGACGAGCTGACGGCGTCCGATGTCGGCGAGCGAACGTGTCTGATACTTTTTGTGTCGGTATTTTGATAAATATATTTATGTTAATGTTTATTTTAGAGTTAATTGATGTTTATGTTGATAATGTTAGCTATTTATGTTTATTTAGAGTTAAAGCAATTGCACATAGTGTTAGTTATGTTTATTTTAGAGTTAAATGATTATTAATTTTAAAGCTAATAATTTAGATTTAATTTATTAATTTTAGTTTTATTTTACATAGTTAATTTCGTATATATTTTTAATTAAGTAATTGTATTTTGTTGTAAAGCTAACTAGTTGATTGTGTTTAATTTTATGTCGTAGAGCTAATTTTATTTAATAATTTATATTTAATTAAATTACTTATTGTTAAATTGTCATTATTTTGTAGAGTTAATTAAATTATTGTGTTTAGTTTTATTTGTAGAGTTAATTGATTTTAGTATTAATTGATTCATTATTTAGTTGTGTTGCATCATATAATTTGTCTCTAACGAGTTGTGAAAACATAATTGCAGGTAGACATGGCTTACAACTTTGAACTAATAGATGATTACACAAACTATTTCCTCAATGTCGTCCAATATTCCAATTTCGAAGATGCTATAACAGTGACAAAAAAACATCGCAATGTCTCTTGGTTTCTTTCTAATTAAGGGCTCAATGAAGCCACATGAGTAGTATAACAAAAGAAAACTAGGTATGTGTTATATGTATTGCGATAGATACAGTAGGGAAAGGAAGTCATACAAGCCGGATTTGACCAAGGAGAGACGTGGCAATATATGTTCAAAAGGGCCTAATTGCATGTTCAGGGTTAAAATCGTAAAACTACTTGTTGATCAAGAGGCTCTTAATGGACCGATATTCTGGGAGATACAAGAAGTGATTGAAATGGAAACCGATTTGAGGAGATGGTATCACAATCATGAGAAGATGCTTTATCCAGAGGGCCATAGTCAGATGACAAAAAACCAGTCATGAGGATAAAGAATCTCTCAAGCAGATGAGAGATGCTGAGATAAGTCCAACAAAACAGAAGCAGACAATGAACATGCAAAAGGATGACAAAGGGCATCACACCAACATGCAATTTTATAATCTCGGGTCCAAGTCTAGGAGAGACGACATGAGTGAGATGAATGCAGTCTAGTATGCGTTGCAAGCAACTGAACGTGAGAATTATCATATAGAGGTTATGAAAGACGATAATGATGTGATTACCCACCTTTTGTTGCCCATCCAACTTCCATCTGAATGTTGAAGGTTTGGCTTTACGTGATTCTGATTGACTCAACGTATAAGACCAATGCGTATAAAAATACGGTGGGTGGAGGTCGTAGGTGCTACTCCCATTGGGAAGAATTTCAACATATGTTGTGCTCTCATGAAAGAGGAGACAAAAGAGGCGTATCATTGGTTGTTGGTGTGCACAATGCAGTCAAAATCGGGATTTTGATCGTAAAATCGTAGAATTTTAGGATTTTACTTAGGCATTCCGATCCCGATTTTATATTAAAATCGGTGGACCTTAAAATCGTTCAAAAAAGGGATTAAAATCGTTAAAATCATAAAATCGTACCAAACTCGGGATTTTGATCCGATGTGAACAAAATAGGCAGTTTGAGCCAATTCAAAAGAAACAGAACTGTTTTGGTGGAAAGGGCAATGACGGGGATCTTCTCAGATATTTTTCCTATTAAAAGAACATTTGAAAAGGAAAAAAATAACCTAATTAGGGTTCGGTCAATCACTTTTCCTTCCCCTTGTTTAACTCATCGGTAAAGTAGTTGTCATAATATTTTAAGTACGAAAGAATTAACATCATTATTAACAAATTAAATGATTAATGAATATATTTGTACCAAACCAATGACACTAAAATTCTTATTGGAGTTCATTTATTCTTAGTTTTAAATCATGCTTAGGAGACGATGTCGGCATACTACTTTGAGTTAAACTACCTAGACATAACATGAAAAACAAGAGCCAAACCCATGAGCTCTATCCCTTCCTCATAAAATATTTTGAGTTACGCATTAAATAACAATTAAAATGATAATTTTGGAACATTAATCTTGAAAATTATCATTTTAAATGTTATATGTCTTTGTGTTATTAATGATTTACCTTATTAATATTATTATATGTTAATTTCTATGTGGTACTTAAAAAAATTGCTCGATCCACGCGTGCCCACTGCCATCATCACCGACCATGAAGGTGGAATACTTGCTAAAGTTTCTGGCAAGGTTGTGAACCCGCGGGTCGACCCACTTTGACCCTGGCCCGGTGAGAAAAATGGGCCGCACGCACCCGTCGGGCCGACCGCTATAAGGTACCGGGTTGGAGGTCAAATTGTGTCATTTTTTTAGTTTTAAATCATGCTTAGGAGTTCTATCATGCTTATTGGAGTTCATTTATTCTTAGTTTTAAATCATGCTTAGGAGACGATGTCGGCATATACTACTTTGAGTTAAACTACCTAGACATAACATGAAAAACAAGAGCCAAACCCATGAGCTCTATCCCTTCCTCATAAATTATTTTGAGTTACGCATTAAATAACAATTAAAATGATAATTTTGGAACATTAATCTTGAAAATTATCATTTTAAATGTTATATGTCTTTGTGTTATTAATGATTTACCTTATTAATATTATTATATGTTAATTTCTATGTGGTACTTAAAAAAATTACTCGATCCACGCGTGCCCACTGCCATCATCACCGACCATGAAGGTGGAATACTTGCTAAAGTTTCTGGCAAGGTTGTGAACCCGCGGGTCGACCCACTTTGACCCTGGCCCGGTGAGAAAAACGGGCCGCACGCACCCGTCGGGCCGACCACTATAAGGTACCGGGTTGGAGGTCAAATTGTGTCATTTTTTTCTTTGGTTTGCGAAATGCACCTATTTTCGATTTTTCTTTCGCCTAACTCAATCTTTGGAATCCTAAGTCGAACATTTGAATATTGATGTTATATAAGTGTGTAAATTTTCACTATATGTTGGATCTAAGTACGACATGTTATTTTGGTGGAATACTATATGTTATAACTCATATGTTAGATAAAATTTGATATAATTTATCAGAATAAGAACAATATAATGACTCTTTCCATATTTCCGGGCTAAACCGGACTAAAACGGTTGACCCAAAGCATATACCTGCAAAACAAACACAAAATCACAGGCCAAACAAGCCCAAGAAGAAGGCCCATCAAGCCCATAAAAGACAGATGGGACAAGCCCGTGAGAGTGGCCCGGTTGCACGACTTATTATATATAAATTATATATAAATGTTTTTGATAAACTTGAAGCAGGGCAAGCTGGTACTCGGTTACTGATGACAGCTGCTGACACGCGCCAAATCACCCCACCGCTGCGACCTTTCCTTAGACATAAGGATAAGAGAAAAGCATCCCTTGACCCACCAGCTCGACCAAGTCCGAGTCAGCCCGCGAGTTGACAACGTGTATTCTCCTACACTCAGCATTTGCTATGTGTTTGGCACATCGACACTAATGTGCATGCAAAGTTTCTGGAAATATTAGGGAAGTCAAGATGGATTTGGTTAACGAGGCTTACAATGAAGGTTGGTGTCCTTTGATTTATTCTTGGTCCAAGCAAAGTATGTTGGTCGCATTTGGCCGCTTTAAGGCGGGATGGAGCAATGACGAGCCACATCTGCTGCAATACATAGAGCGAGTGTGGTGGCCGCATTGAGAGAAGTGAGCAGTTTGTAATACCAAAAATGTGTTTTATCTAGGAAATACGAGCACAAACAGGGTCTCTAGTCGGAGTTATCGATTGTCGCTACTAGCAACCAGAACAATCCCAACCAAATCGACCTGCCCTGGGATTAGCAACCCTATATATATATATATGGATTTGGAGGATAGCCGCCAATGGACAACAGAGAAGGACGATGGAGAATAAATGCCTCGTCGCCTTCTTGTTGGTCCATTTAGGGAGAGAGTGGGCGATGCGACGAGAGGAGAGGGAGAAGTTTGGTCGTCTGTACCAGGGAGAGGAAGACAGTGGGGTATTCGACGAGAGGAGGGAGAGGTCTGGGAGTTTGCGGTTGTAGCGGTGTACCGAGACTAATTCAGTCATCAAGTGACGGTAATCCCAAAATCGAAGCTGACATCGCACACATATAATTGATTGTAGGTGTGGTAAATAACAGCCAGTTTAGATTAAGTTGTCAATTTAATTGTATGACAAGCAATCGATTGTCACTCCTAACAGTGATTGAGCAGATGCCTAGATTACAGACAAAGTTCCACTATACTACACCTATCAAGATGCCCTCTCATGATCCCTCCACAACTGCACGTCCTGAAGGGGAGAAAACAGATCCGTCTATCGGGACCTGGACCCATCTTTTTTTTTTTTTTTTGGGTAAAAGGACTCCATTCATGTCTAAATCATATTAATGATATCCCAGTCCATAGCAATTCCCATGGTATCGTAGTTCAGCGAGTATCATAAGTTCGGGTCACATGAATCGACCTCAAACGTGCCAAAAGGAACAAAATGGCCCATGTGAGCCAGGGAGTCAGCCGCACAATTACTCTCCGTATGTCTAATTACAACCTCCCACTCTCGATCAAACAACCTACTAATATACTTAACAAGCCATCCATGAGTATGATCAGTATACACATTGTTTCTTATGAGTGTAATTGCAGTTGAGGAGTCAAGATTAAGTTCAAGCTTTCTGAAACCTTGTATGCAAGCAAGATCAAGGCCTTCTGCTGCCCCTTTAAGTTCGGCCTTGGCGATTGAGCAAGTTCCCAAGTTGCTGAGAAATGCTCCCTTGCATCTTCCCCAGTGGTCGTACAAGAGTCCACCAGCATCAACATTCCCAGTCGAGGTATCGACCAAGCCATCTGTCTGGACCTGCAACCATCCTTCTCTTGGAAATTTCCTCGTTTGTCTATTTCCAAAGAATCCAGCAAATAAGGCCAAAGTCAATACCTATCTCTTCTGCCCACAGGTTGCTGGTCAGTCAAGTATGAAAGTCCACATTGCTGTTTTTTTCCTTAAGTTTGTCTTTGAACTGAATCCATATCCCCTCCGTCTTCTTGCAGTTTCGTAAGATGTGCTCCACTGTCTCTTCCACTCCAGAACAGTGCTTGCAGTTTCCATTATCAGTAAGATGGCGCCTCTCTCTCTTTGTTGGTGAGGAGTCTGTTGTCTGAGCTTTCATTTTAGGGTAATGTTTATTTTTTATTCAAACCTTTTTCAGATTCTTTTATGCTATCCAAATCTATTAAAATACTATTAATTAGTCAAATATTTCGTAATGCATCAAAATATTAGCCATTTTTATGTTATCGTTAATAATTTTGTAACTTTTTTCTTAGTTAAAATACTGAAATTTTGCAATATTGACCTTCATGTGTCTCTTCCAAATCAGTGTCATGTTGTTAAGTCAATATTACTAACAAAATTACTAACTGAAAATTAATATTTAACTAATTCTTAGATAAGAAATAAACATTACTCTTCATTTTAATCCCAGGATAAGCTTTCATTTTAATCCCCAACAGAGTAGAAGTTGTACTACCAGGCCCACTACACAATCCGCCGATTGCGGCCCATAGAAAATTGGAAACGGGTTTCTAATCTCATCCACAAAATTCCATCTATAAACAGAATAATTATTGGTCCTAGTCCTACTAGGGGTGGGCATTCGGTCGGTTTGGTTTCGACCGAACCGAAATTATGAATATCGGGTCCCCGAATTCTCCCAAATCTCAAACCGAATTCGAACCGAATTATAATTTGGTTCGGTCGGTTTAAACTGAATTATAATTCGGTTCGGTTAGGTTTTTTACCCAAAACCGAATTTGTTAAAGTACTTGTATCTTCTCACTTTTAAATTATTTTTAGGGCAATGTCTATTTTTTACCCAAACCTTTTTCAGATTCTTTTATTTTAACCAAACCTATTGAATTCCTAAAAATTATCCAAACGTTAACTCTCCGTCAACTTTTCTGTTAGTAATGCTGACTAAGTATGACCATAATGAGTTGACTTCCTACGTGACAGTCAGAATACCATCATTTACTATTTTTAATAAAAATATTATAAAAAAAAAAAACAAAATCCCACCCCTCACGTGGACGAAATAAGTAACGGTAACAGAATGAATGCCCAGACTTTGATAAATTATAATACGTTTGGATAATAAATAGAATTTCTATAGGTTTGGTTAAAATAAAAGAATTTGAAAAAGGTTTGGGTAAAAAATAGACATTGCCCTTATTTTTACCCCTAATAAAAACAATAAATATGTAATTATATGCATCATCAATGATAAAATCAAACTTTTCAACACATAAGTCATAAAACATTTCAAATATTTAAGTCTAAAAACAACTACAAACATAAAAATCCACCATTTGGAGCTTGCGATTATAGTATTTCGGTTTTTCGATCGGAAATTCGGAAATTCGGTTTGGTTGAGAGAACCCTGATTTCCGAACTATCCATATTTTCCTTCCGAATTCCGAACCGAATAGCATTAATTCGTTTTCGGTTCGGTTTAATTCGGTTTCGGTTCGGTTCGGGTTTACCGAACCGGTTGGCCACCCCTAAGTCCTACTACGCAATAAATAAAATTTCTAATTCAGTACCCCATCTTTGCTTATTGTTCACCCTAACTCCCCAGAATCTCACCATCTCAGATACGCATCAATCTCAACCACCCATCCCCATCCCATCAGCAACAGCACATGCGAACATAATCTGACGGCCCAGTACTCGCCAGCATACCCTTCATCAACAGGTCTCCCTGAACCCGCAAGGCACGCAAATCTCGTGGGTCCGCTGGATGGCTGCCCTTATCAATACCCGCGGCGCGGCCTAATTACTTTCCAAGCCCCCCATCCATAATTCTGTTATCTTTTTCTCTCTCTCCTCCTTTTCCTCTTTTATCCTTTTGCCTCTTCGGTGCCTGTTTTTTCAACTCAACAGAATTCCTCTCTCGAATTTCCCCCCCAACTCTTGTTGTCACTTTGGAGAATCGGGAAGGTCCTCTCTCAGATTCGTACAAAAACAAATTTCGCGTGCTACTCTTGGCGGCAAATGGTGATGATGTCGTCGTCCATGGAGGAATCCTGCTCCCGTGCTCTCCTTCTCTCCATGGCTCGCGTTTCCCTCTCTGTCGCCGTACGAACGAGACGGTCCCCGACCATGAATTCTCGGATACCCCTGCCTCAACGAATACCTACGCCTAGCGCCTGCTGAAAATCTTCTGGTTCGCTCGTTGTTGCTCTTCGTCTTCTTACGCTTGAATTTCGCTTTCGTTGTTTTTCACTCTGTTCGGGATCGTTGAATTTGAGAAATAGTTAGGGTTTCGGAACCGATAATTTCTGGCTGACCGGAGGAAAACATTGGTTGATTGGTGGAATTCCGTGTTTCCTTGGTTTCTACTTGGAGATTGATGAACTCTTAGGGTTGTTGAAGTCGTTTCTCCGCTGTGGTCTGCCGTTCAGAACGCTGAATATCAATTTGTTCTGAGTTGTTGATATTATTACGTAGTTACTTTTAGAGTCCGAGTTTCCTACAAGGTAGAAGTTGAATTTGGGCGCTAGGGAGTTAGGGAGGCGTCGGAGAGAGGAGCCAGGTTTCTTCTGCATGGCTGGAAGGTGGGAAGTGGGGTTGCCAAAGAGTGGCGCATGTAATTTGAAGGACCAGCTGGTGAAAGCCACTCTTCAGAGAGTGAGGTCACAGGGACACCCCTATGTGGAGCTTCGTGCAGACGGGAAGCGATACATATTCTTCTGCACCCTGTGTCTCGCACCGTGCTATAGTGATTCGGTGTTGCTTGATCACTTGAAGGGACATCTTCACATGGAAAGGTTGTCTGCTGCTAAGGTTACTCTTCTCAAACCAAACCCTTGGCCTTTCAGTGATGGTGTTCATTTCTTTGATACTTCTAGCGACGGTTGTACTAACCTAGACGCCAAGGAGAGTTGTAAGAGTAAGCCGTTAGATTCCCAGACCAATTCTGACAACCTCGCCATTGTTGCATATGGTGACAATGTGAACCCTGGCAATGATAAGCAGAATGGTCTTGCTGTGGTTCCTGGTTGTAAGGATTTAAATCATACTGGAGGGAGCTGTGATCTGTTGGTTCCTGGTGTTCTTATTAAAGAAGAAGTATCTGATTTGAAGGTTAGGTTTATAGGGGACGGACTGATTGCTGCAAGGTTCCGCAACAAGGATGAGGTTTCAGATGAGATTGCTAGAATATGGTGTGAATGGTTGGGGAAAAAGGGCAATGAAAGCAAAGCCGTGGAACATGATTTCTCTGTTATTACTTTCTCTTACAACTACAGTTTGGCGAGAAAGGGATTGCTTGATGATGTCAAGTTGCTTCTCACGGCGCCTCCAGTGGCAGGTGAAGTCACTGTTAGGAAAAGAAAGAAATCCTTCTCTGATCCAGAAGATGTTAGTGAGTCTCTGAGCCAGAGTAACCAATATGATTCATCCGGGGAGGAGTCTTCTACTTCAAATGGTGCCTCACCTAAATTGCTCTCAGACCGAGATGACTCGTTGCTGCAATCTAGGTTTCTGTCAAGCAAGACTGTAAGGCGTGAAATGAGAAAGCAGCAGCGTTTAGCAGCTGAAAGATTGTGCGACATATGTCAGCAGAAGATGCTCCCTGATAAAGATGTCGCAACGCTTTTTAATACGAAGACAGGAAAACTTGCTTGCAACAGCAGAAATACGACCGGGGTAACAACCTTTTTTCCATTTGCTATGGTTATTTCCAAACTTTTGTTTTAACTTTATTGTAGCCAAGCATAGATGACTGCTCGTGCTAGTTACATGTGACACTGAAATGATAGTTTTTCGTGGACATGTACCTGTAGGCTGTAGGGAAAGGTCCACTAATCCTTCAGACTTATACATTTTTTCATCAAGTGTGCAGAACATTATTATTATGTTTTAGCTATAACTGCTCTCCTTTATTTCCTCCTCCAAAAGGAAATGGAAAATAAAAAAACTTGTAATGTGAACTGTGGCCGCTCAAAGATGTACCTGGATCCATAGTGTACCTTATCACAGTTATTTTCATTTTGAACAGGCATTCCATGTGTTCCACTCTTCCTGCCTCATTCTTTGGATATTGTTGTGTGAACATGAAATGCTCACTAACAAGCCAGACGGTTCAAAACCGAGACGGAAATCTAGGAGGAAGAACATTGGCAAACAAAATGGAAGGGGAAAACTTGCAGATGTGAACATTCAGAAGGCCCAAATTAGGTCTGTGTTCTGCCCAGAGTGCCAAGGAACTGGTGTGGAAGTTGAAGGAGATGAGCTTGAGAAACCAGCTTTCCCCCTTTCAGAGGTTTGCTTTCACTTTCTATTCAATGCTATATGTATATTGTTATTATTGGTGCTTTCTCGGTAATGATTCCCATATAATGGAGTTAATAAGGGACACCAGTTCTATTTTCAAACTTTTCTTCCATCTTCCTCTTTACCCTTTGGGACCATGTTTTATTGAATATGTTTGTTTTTTTTTTAATTGAATATGGTTGTTAAAAAAACGCAGCACTGGTCTACAGGCATTTCCCGAAAGTGGAAGCCTGGCAGTGAAGATATATCCATGGATTATCATCTCACTTGCCAAGTTGTTAACTGTTAAAATCCAACTGTTTTCCAATCTCATCTGCTAAGTTGCGTGAACAATCTCTCATGAGCATCTATTTCTCCAGTTGATGCCTTGGACTTGGTTACTTTTTATTTGTTCAGATGTTCAAATACAAGATGAAAGTGAGTGACGGACGTCGAGCATGGATGAAAAGCCCAGAAGATCTGGAGAACTGTTCTATGGGGTTTCACTTTCCTTCCCCGTCTGAAGAAACTTTGCAGGTGTGCACATCTGTTGGTTATAAACCAGTGCGGGAAGCGAAGCGATCATTTACTAACCCGTTGCTTCTCGAATGTTGTGTCACAGGAGGAGGTTTTAGCGCTGAAATCACTGCACTTCTACCGATCAGATGGATAGAGAGGGAGCGTACATAACAACACTAGTATGCCAGTGACAAGATGGTGGATGGCGGACCTTTGAATTGACTCTTTTAAGTTTCAGGGTTTGATGTAAATTTCCCTGTTGTCGCTTTGACTGGAAGTCTGTAAAATGTTGTAGAGGTGACTTGTGATGAACTCTTATTCACAGAGACTATATAGACAAGTTGGACTTATTTTGTGCGAGGAAATAGGGTGCGCAATCGGGAACTGGGTAAGGTAAGGGAATGTGAATGTGGTAGATTGATTGACACTGTCCTTACTGTAATCAAAATTTCTCTTTCGGTCTTGGAATTTCTGTATTCTGTTGTCCCCAAATAATTTTGTATTGGTGACTTGTATTAGCTAACTAATCCGCAACATGGTCATAATAGATATGAACTATTGGTTTGATGCAGCAGGGCGGCGTCTCTATGTTCTTCATCCTGTGGCTGCTGTAACTAATTTTGGTTAACTCGAAATCTTGCTTTATTCAATAGTGGTAACTGGAGTTTTGACTTGACAAGGCTAAAAGAAAGAAGAGTATTATCCACTGGTGTATTTGTTTGTTAGTGTTTATCTTTATTGAGTTGTGAATCATCCCCTCCGGCCGTCGGCTGGCTGATGGTTGGTTTCAGATAACACATATGATGATATGAGCACAGCAAATGAGCAGAGAGCAGGCCTGCCACGGGGAAGATGTTCCGTTCTTCTTTCCCATAATTAAGGGGTTAATTAAGCTTGGCTTCCACATGTACTGTAACCTCGGGGGAGTGATGTGACACAGAAGATAATTGTTTTTGGATGAGAAAGGCAAGTGATGGATGGAGCTGACAGTTCTAGTATTATTAGTATCTGACTCCTGGGGTTGGTCTGCTGCTGTTTTTGGAGGGAGGTAGTTTGTAATGTTGCGAGGATAAACATGTGTGGTTGTCTGTCCAAAAGAGTACTTGAAAGTAGCATTTGGACTGCAGAATGAAAGGGTAATACTATACTATAATATTACTTTGTGGTTGGTGCTACTGCACATGCTAAGCAGGAACCACGGGGAAGGAATTTGCAGGCTGGCTGTTTAGGATGATGATGATCGTGATTGTATTCCGTTGGCATAAGAAATGGGAAGGGCTCCATTTGTCAACTCCAAAGGATCGAGCCTTCATCCACCCCATCCATAATCGATCGTGGGGTAGTCGATTCTACTCGGTTATGACCAAGTTCTTTATTATTAAAATCTCTGTATTGTGGGATGAGATGAAGTCAATGGTTTGTTTACGCATGGAAGGATGTGACCCTCTCACCTAACCCTCTCCTCCTCTGCCTCTGCCTCTGCCTCCAAAACTATTATGACTCCGTGTTGTTGTATTATGAATCCTTCTTCACTTCCCATGACGGAGCCGGACGCCCATTATATCTGTCCATTTCCATTAATCTCCTTAAATTGAATTCCCTCTGCCGGCTCCAACTCCAAACCCTCGAATCCCACTTCTGTTTTCCGTTCCTGAATCACGCCCACAAATCCCAGTTGACAAAGCCGGCTTCCCATTAAACAAATCCCAACTCCTGCTAATATTCCCCTCCTTCTTACCCACCACCACACACACATATAAATACACACATACATACAAACACATCAAACACAGATAGCAACAAACATCCAGACTCCTTTCCTTCCTCCTACGTTTTTGGGGGTTACAAAAAACCAATCATCACATCCATACATACAATGGCGGCATTCAAGGTTACTACTAGGAACCAGCAGCAGCAGCAGAAGAAGAAGAGCTCTTCCTGTCTCTGTTACTTGCTCAAGTTGTTGATGGTTGTGGGCTTGCTTTTTGCTCTTATTGGGCCGACTGACGCGGCCCGGCCCGTGCCGGCGGATCATCATCATCAACGGCGGGAGGTGGTTGTTGTTGTTGCGGCGGCGGCGGCGGTGCCAGGAAAGGGAAAGGGGATGAGCGAAGGAAGTGTGAAGGGACTTGTCACAATGCTGCCTAAAGGAGCTCCATTGCCACCTTCCGGCCCCAGCCCTGGCATCAACTGATGTCTGATGATCATCATCGACTTCCACCTCCAATTTTGGACTTCTTTATTCAAATTCCCACCTCCCTTTTTTTTTTTATACCTTTACACCTTATTATGATAATCGATTAGAGTTGTAGCTGCAGAAAGAGTATTGGTTAATTATAACTAGCTAGGTTATACAAGCTTTAAGTATAGACAGAGAGCTTCATCAATGTTTCTCGTTTGACTAGAGTTATTTGTTATTCTTTTCACCCCATGTCATGCAACACAAAGATTAATTGCAGATTATGAGCTATACACTTACATTCACCATTATTATTGTTCTTGTTAGTTACTATTTCTCGTTGCTTGATGCTTCTCAATGGTATCTCACCCTCTGAAATATAAGTATTACGTTTTATTCTAAGAGAACTGGCCACCCGAAAAGATCTTTTCGATTAGTTGAAATGATCCACGTATCAACAACATCAAATCAAATTGTCCTAATTACAATCAAATAATACACTAAGATGGTACTAATTAACCGATTTAGTTAGTTTGCATCGAACGGTCGCGGTTGAAATTCCACAACTTATATGCATGTTTTGATCATATGAAGACAAAAAGACACCTAGTGGTAGGTGGATTTCTTTGCTATAAAACTAACCTTTACCCTTGAGCAGTGGCAAGAATCTGAAGGGGAATTATGCCATTTGTGTCTATTTTGATGGGCTGCTAGCTATTTTACAGGTCAGTTAATTGGTTGATGGGTACATATGGGATGCTGCAGCTGCAGCTGCAGCATGACATGAGAGCATCTCCCCCCTACCCTACCCAAACGAAGCTGACTTTTCATATTGTAAACAATCATTTGACCAAAAAGGGAGGAAATCATGTAACCTAATAAATTAAATGACTATTAAAGTATATATAGAGGTGGAACAGAGTAACTGTAGCTCCGGCAGCAGAATGGCTGACTCCAACAAAACAAAAAAGTATTTTAGGAAGTGCAATGAATTTGTCCCATTTGGACGTTATCTGTCCCCGCGGTGCTGTGCTGTGCCTGTGCGCTTCTTCAACGTCAGGATATCATAAACATACTGTCCAAAAATAAAATAAAAGATATCATAAACATATTTTGCTGTGCTGTGCAACTGCGGCAGCGGAAGGTAAAAACGATCTCGGTGTAAATGAGTACGATATCGATATCCCAGTACAAAATATTAAATATTAAATAATGCACTAAAATTAATCCCAATTATAATCCAAAATAAATTTGGTATCCCAAATCCCTAAAATTTTGTTCGGTATCGGTATACACCAAATTAATTATCTTCAAAATTACAAAAAAAAAAAAAAAAATTACAAACACAAATACTTCTCCTCTGTCTAGCAGCTCCACATACCATTCTCAAAGTAAATAAAAACAAACAATAAGTCCAACACTCTTGCAAAACAAATGAGAAAAATCTCTCAAGTATATTAACAACAAACTAGAAAAATATGACACCTAAGAAGCACATTAATAAACTAAGGAACAAACTAAAACCGTGGACGATTAACCAACCTATAAACCTACTACAAGTACAAAATGAGTTTGGTATGAGTTGACAAATAGTGAGAGAATGAACTATGTATAACTAAGCGACCATCTTAGAGGTTTAGGGTTTGATAGTAGTGAGTGAGGGAGCCTAGTTGAAAAGAATAAAGTACAAACTACCTTATATTTTGGTACTGATCAGTATTTTGGTATATATCGATCTCAATCCCGTAATCCTTAATACCAAATAACAGTTCAAACTCGATCCCAAACCCAAACCCATGAAATAATACGTCTATTCGATAGTACCAAATATCGACAAATTTGATATGGTATTCGGTATATCCCAAATACCGATACCAAATTTCTAGCCCTATCTCCAACACTTTAGAAGGCTTTTCGACGGTGACAACCCAAGCTGAAAACCCATAGAGGAGCAGCATGCACCCACTCTACCAGTGATGATCCAGAATTCCTGTACATATGTGTCGATTAATAAAACTAAATTATTAAATAAAAATTTGATTCATTAAATTCACAATATTATATTATTTTATAGCGAACCACGACAACTTTTTATATTTGTAAAATATATTCGTTGTTTGTGTTGCGAGTCAAACCTTTTCTGATGTACAAGACTAAACAATCATTCAGGAATTGGTCACTCTAATACTTTAAAAAATTCTTCTTAATTAATTTCATAACTAAAAAGACACTTTCGCAGCTTGCACTTGCAACAGGTAAAGTCAACATTACCTTCATATGGGGAAGCAATAATGGAAAGTGGTAATGGGGTGACATACGTAAGCGTGGAAGTTTGAATGGTAATGTCGGCGTTGTCTGGCACCGCTGATGTCGGTTAAAGATTTTTTTCCTCTTGACACTCAAAAATAGATTAAGAATGATAAAAAAAAAAAGTGAATTAAAAGGGATAGTGAGATACGCGATTTGTTTAGGTATCGTTTACTTTTAGGATTTGGGTGATGTATTGGTACTCAAATCCCAAGCATTAAGGACTTAGCACAAATCTATTGTTTGCTAAGGGACACAAATCCGTGGGGCCATAGATTTGGACCGTTTTTTTAATGTCCAAATTCCTGGATCTCACGGATTTGCAAATCCCACATTTCATTTGATATTTGATAATGGAAGGCTAACCATAAAAAAAGATAATGGTAGGCAAAATCCATCATAAATCCATGATAAAATTAACAAAACAAACAATGTACTCTTCCAAATTCACAATACAACAAATTCATAATAAATCCAAAGGTTTTTAAATCTCAAAACGCTCATTAGTTTTACGGGGAGAGATGTTTCAAAAGAGGGGAAGTGGTAATTAAAAAGAGTAAGGCAACACTGTGTTGTATTGAGTAGGGGTGGACATTGGGTGGGTCGGGCTGATTTTGACCATAAAATGCACCCACCCGCGATTGAGTGGATTGCCTATTTTTAACCCACCACCCACCCACATTTAGTCTCGGGTTGGGTCGGGCGGATGGTGGATGATGTAGGTGGGTTTGCGGGTTCACCCATATCACAATGTACATAATATAAAGTAGTCACATGACATGATAATTGGTGTAGAGAATAATCGGGGGGAAACAAGAAGATGGAATAGGAAGAAGAAATTATTGAATTAGTTCTGAAATTGAATATAAATTCTATTGTGAAGGAGTTTTACGGACGGAGATGATTATCAGGTGCAAGGAACTAAGAAAATAATTCAACGGAGTAAAGAGAGGTGATCTATGCACAAGACTCAGAGGAAAAAATAAAGGGAAGTAGAGGGAATCACAATTGTGTCTTTGAGGTTCAATCACCATGCGCAGTTCTAGTTTCCGTCTAACGTCTTCACTCTCCAACGGTAACGAC